CATTCCAGGCAGTGGTATCATCCTACATGAAGGTAGGGAGATGAGATAGAATGTTTGGGGAACCACTATCAGGCCAATTTGGTTTGGTACTCAGCTTACACAAATGAAAAGCAAGAACCAGTGCCTGCCTTCATGGAGTTTGCCTGTTCCATCAGAGATGGGGAGAGAATAAGATAACCCATAGTGTCTGAGGATGGCATGGTGTACTATGTGCCTAGCATGTAGTAGAAGCTTAATAAATGTTTATTGATTGACGGGCTGGAAAAAGTAGTTTGAATGCCAGGATTAGGAGTTTGTATTTCATCTAAAGGCAGCTGGGAGCTCCTGAACAGTTTTGAGTAGGGCAGAGACAAGTTTAGTCCTCAGGCTTAATTCATTCCTGGGCTCATACTGGAAGGCTTTCTAGGTGGCTGGACTTGGCAACAGCAGCGGGGCCTTTAAGAATAATAGCTAGCACTCATATAGCCCTTAAGGATTAAGGAATGCTTTACAAATACCTCACTTTATCCTTCAAACAATCCTGGGAGATAGGAGCTATTATGGCCCCTGATTTACAATTGAGGAGACTGAGGCAAACAGGTTAAATGACTTGCCCAGTTTCACACAGCTAGTGACTGAAGCTGCCTTTTAACTCGGGTCTTCTTGATTCCAGGTCCAGCGATTTTTCCATGGGGGCCACCCAGTTTCCCCAATCCTCCACTAACGTTCTCTGATACCTCATGGTAATAATATTAGCCAATATTTATATGACATTTTAAGGCTTGCAAAAGTCTTAACATACATTGTCCTACTTGCTGTGCATAAAGCAAGAACTGTTATGCCCATGATGGATGGAGGCACTGAGGCTGAGATTAAGTTAGTGCTCAGAGTCGCGCAGCTAGTAAGTGTCGAGACAAAACTCACACTGAAGCCCGCACTTGTTACCTCGGTGGTCGCTTGGAGGGGGTGAAGGGGGGTAATACGAATAGCTTCTCTTTCCGTGCTGTCTTTCGGAGTTTTCCCCCACCCCCGACCCCCAAACCGCTCTGTGAGCTAGGGAGTAAAGCTCAGGCTCGGAGGGGGAATTGCCCGGGGCTGATTGACGTCTCCCGGCTCCCCATCTCGTGCTCTCGTGATGCACTGAGCTCTGCTGGCTTGAACCTCAGCCTACTAAGCTTTGTTGGCCTTGGACCCCTGCCTTTCCAGGTGAAAGGGGGACGTGCGGCCCCGCCCCGAGTCCTTCAGAGGTGGTGGTGGGTGGGGGACGCGCCCTGCTACTGCGAGCCAGAAACCACGAGGAGCACAGCCAGTGCTAGTGCGAGAGCGCATGCGCACCGCGAAAAAGGGGTGCTGCGGTGGACTTGACCGCTAGGTATCAGGCGTGGGGCGCGGGAGCTGCGCACGCGCTCTTCCTCCCGCTCGTCCCGGCGGGTCGCAGATGGGGGCGCGTGCGCGTGCTCTCTGCTGGGGGCGGAGAGAGGAGTAAACTCTGAGGTCTGCTGGTCAGTCAGTCAGGCGCGGGGGAATGGCGCGCGAGTTGCTGCGGCTATTGCCGCTGCTTCTGGCGGGACTGCAGCGAGCTCTGGCCCTCAGCCTGCCTTCGACCTCGGCACAGCCCCGGAGCCTAGCCCGCCGAGCAGGTGAGTCCGGTCCCGACCTTCAGCCCCTTCCTCTTTCCCCTAGTCTCGCTTCTCGTTGTGGGGGGGGGGGGCGCGTTCTTTCGGCAACTGTCAGGTCCCGCCCCCGCGCCGGCCCTCGCCCGCCCCGCCGCCGCAGCCGGCTATTGGCCCTGGCGCCCGTCAGTCAGGGTCACTCCCCCCGCGCCTTCACATGGCTGGGGAGCTTGTGCTTCACGCGGCTCTGAGCAGACTGGGGGGAGACCGGGGGGTCGCGGACCTAGGTAGCGAGGATCCTTGTGACCATCCCCACGCCGGTACTGAAACCCTGCTTCGATGAAAAGGGCTGGACCGAATTAACCCTTATGGTCATCTGCTCCGAGGCCTCCGTTGTATGCTTTGGGAAACTGAGGCTCAGAGAGGTGAAGGGACTCGCGGTGGGTCACTCAGCTGGTCACCGGGGATCCGCTCCCATCTGGAGGCTTCAGGCGCTCCTTTTCTCCCAGCCCCCAACCCCAGCAGTCATCTTTGGGCTTCCTTATCCCCTGGGGAGCCCCAGCTTTGGGATAGCCCCGTTAGGTGGTTCCTCCTCCTCGAGAGCTCAGATCTGTCTCTTCAGTTTCCACCTGGGGCCACGCTGCAGAGCCCGGCAGGGGGTGCCCCTGTGTGGTCCTGCTTTCCCTGTCCCTTTGTTAATTGTGTCAGCCCAGCCTTCCTCCTCACATCCCTCCTTCATCTTAACCGTTATTAAGTGCCTACGAATGTAAGGCCTTGTACCAGGGGTCCAAGGGCAAAAATGGAACCCGACAGCCCCTGTCCTCAAGGGGCTTATATTCTGCATGTGCACAGATAAGTAAATACTAGATAGTTTGAGAATCACTGGAAGAATCTGGAAAGGCTTCCCTTGGAAGAAGTGGCAGCTGACTTCACCCTTGAAGAAAGCTGTTGCCCTAAGGTTCTAAAAAATAGAAAAGATGAGGAGGATAGACATTCCAGATTAAACTGCTCCCCTTTCCTAGGAAACTCAGGCCTGTTGGAAAGAGAGGCGTTCCCAAAGGTTGGTGGGCAATCATAGTACAGGCTCAGTCATTGACTCTCTCTGTGACCTTGAAGAGTTCTGTGACCTGATCTTCACTGTCTTCTGTAAAAAGGAGTGGGTTTGGATTGGGTGGTCTCTGAGGTGTGCTCTGTGTTTGCTGTTCAGTGCTCCTAAAAGCCTCCTAGACCCAGGAAAATTCCATTCAATTAAATTCAGTAAACATTTATTAAGCATCTACTGTGTGCAAGGCATTGTACTAAGCTCTGGGGATAGAAAAAGAGGCAAAAGAGAGTCCCTACCCTCAAGGAATTAATGGAAGTCTAATGGAAGAAAAAGCCCGTGGAAGAATGCAGACTCTGGGATGGCTGGGGTGAAGAATTATGTCAAAACTGGAGGGGTTGTTAAAGATCATCTAGTCTAACCCTGCTTTTACAGAGGGGGAAACAGGGCTAGGAAGGAAAAGGCATTTTGAGGAGGGGAAGCCTTCCTACACTTTTCTTGGTGCCACTCCCAAAGAACTGGGAATTGTTGGCTCCTCAGAGTGTTAATTTGCTTTTTACTGTTCCCTCTTCCCACAGCCATCCTTTTTACTAGCCTCAGAAATTATTTTGTTTGACAACTACAACTGCCTGTTGGGCTTAAAAGTTGCACCTGTTCTCTCTCCAATAAAGTTGTTGGGCTACTGCTGCCCGGGACCCCGTGTTTTATGACCTACCTTCATTCAGTTGTTTGAGATGTCCTAAGCATAGGGGAGAATGTCTGGGCCCTGCCTTCTGTTCATACAGTTAGAAAAGGGAGACATTGTACATAAAGAGTACAATGTCTCAATATAATAGGAGTTAGAGAAGTCTGGGGTCCCTCCCTGGACTGGAGATACCTTCCTTTTTTTTTTATTAATTTATTTTGATTTATTAATAATCACTTCCATATGCTTTTGAGTTTAAAATTTTTCTCCCCCTTCCTCCCCACCACCCTCCCCAAGATGGCGCATAATCTGATATAGGCTATACATTTACATTCATATTAAACATATTTTCACTTAGTGATGTTGTAAGTAGAAATTAAAACCAATAGGAGGAACCATCAGAAAGAGGAAACAAAACTCAACAGAAGAGAAAAAAATTAGCAATTGGGCTTCCATAGTTCTTTCTTTGGGTGTGGATAGCATTTTCCATCACAAGGCCTCTGGAGATGTCTTAGATCCTTGTATTGCTGGGAAGGGTTAAGTTTATCAATATTAGTCATCACGCAACGTGGTTGTTATTGTGTACAACGTTCTCTTGGTTCTGCTCACTTCACTCAGCATCAGACTATACAAGTCTTTCCAGGTTTTTCTGAAGTCAGCCTGTTCATCATTTCTTATAGCACAATAGTATTCCATCACATTCATATACCACAGCTTGCTCAGCCATTCCCCAATTGATGGGCATCCTCTCAATTTCCAATTCTTTGCCACCACAAAAAGAGCTGCTATGAATATTTTTGTACATGTAGGTCCTTTTCCCGTTTGTGTGATCTCTTTAGCCCTAGAAGTGTTATTGCTGGGTCAAAGGGTATGCACATTTTTATAGCCCTTTGGGCATAGTTCCAAATTGCTCTCCAAAATGGTTGGATCATTTCACAACTCTACCAACAATGCATTAGTGTTGGACTGGAGATATCTTCGAAGGCTCCAGAGAGGTCAGGCTAGACCATGGTGAGGAGATAACATTTGGTTTGGCAGAACTGAAGGTGACCAAGGAAATAATGAGCAAATACTGAAGAAATGGCAGCAACTGTTTAAATAGCTCTTTGGAGATATTTTGTTAATGTAAGAGGCTTGCAGTGGGAAGACAAGACCTATACTCATGAAATATCTTTAGAAAGAGCCCTGTACTGGGAGTCAGAAAGCCTGGGTTCAAGCCCCAGCTCTGTGATGAACTCAGTGGATAACCTTGAACAAATAGAGCCTCATTTGCCTTCTCTGTAAAATGAAGGAGTTGGAATAGAGATTCTCTAAGGTCCCTTTCAGGCCTAATGCTGTTATGTGGAGCTTCCTGGCTTCCTTCCTTCCTGGGTGTATGATGTGTGTTCCAGCAATATGGTGACAAAGAAGAGTGTGTGCGCCCGCATGTTTGTGTGAGTGCATCTATGTATGCATGCACTTATCCCCTTTCAGTTTAGTTAATGAAACTTGGAGAGGGAAAGCCTAGAGTCCTCTCCTGAGATCTCGGTGGGAAGGAGTCCCTCTGTGATCCATCCTTTGGCTCTCCTTGGTGGCTGGGAGATGAGGTTTGGTGGATGAGACTGTATACTTAGGTGGAATCAAGGCGGGAGACAGAGAAGGTAGGGGTGGTAGTGGTGATAATAACAGTAGACAGTAAACATTTATTACCTGTGAAGTTCCAAGCCCCCATAAAGGGAGGCTTTTTGAGGAGTTTGTTGCACTCCCTCTGGCATTCCAGTCCAGGGAGTGGCTACTGAGGGAGATGAGGAAGTTCTGAGTTAGTCTTGTATGGTGATGAGATTTCAGGTGGTGAGGAGGCAGGATAGAAAATGAAGAGCTGACAGGGTGGGATGCAACCTCCACTTGACATCAGGCTTGTCCTGATGCCAAGAAAAGAGCTTTAGTTTGTTGAGGGGCCCTGGCTAGGACTGGTGTGGGTCTTTCAGGTTGGGTAGCCTCTGGGTCATCTTGAGACTCTGATGGGGACTCTTTCCAAGCTCAGTGCTGGTAGTCTAAGCGCAATTAGCTCAGATTTGTCAGGTATGAGAGTTGCTGAGCTGGGGCTGGTTCCATTTCAGTGGTCATGGAAGCTCTTGGAGGCCACAACATCTTATTAGCTGTATCTCCCCAAACCAGGTAATGAGGGCCTTGTCCATTCAGAAAACAAATGGACTAATCCCTCCAGCTGGTAGCTTGGCTTGGCTTAGCTCTGCCTGCACTCTGACTGTTGGCTCCACCAAGTCTGAAACCTTTACTGATTTACTCTTCCCTTCACTGCACAGGGCTGTAGGGTATATTCAGGCGCCTGTTAACCCCTGAAGGGGAGAGGGTCGGGACTGGGTTAGTCCCGTTCCCTTGCCCAGTTTCCCTGGGGGCCCCTCACTTTGGGAACAGCACCTGGTTGTTGGAGAGGATATGTAGCCTGGGGCCAGTACTTTCCACTTCCCCCAAGGAAGTACAGTGGGTTCTCATTGTTTGGAAGAGTTTCTTCGAAGAGCTTTTATGAAGGCAACTGAGTTCATGAGTTTTGGGAATGGAAAGTGACTACTGGGAGCCAGGCTGAGTATATGGGGTGAGCAGCCCCTCTTCTTTGTTTCCTTCATGGAAGTCCCTCAGGCAGTTCAAGGGGCAGGTATGAAAGGTTGGACTCTAGTAGCAAGGTATTTGGAAAGTGGTATGGGATAGTCACGGACTTCTAATTCTTAGAGTTAGAAGATGTGGGGTTAAGTTCAGTCCTTGAATTATGTCAAGAACTTAAGTAACTTCCCTGATGCCTCTAACTCTAAATTCAGCCCTCAATGAAGTGAATTGGTTTGGTGATCTTCTTCTCTGCCCTGGGGTGCGTCATCTCAGTAGCTTTAATAATAATAACAGAAATGGATGTTTATAGAGCACTTTGTAGTTGCAAAATACTTTATGTATAATATTTCATTTTAGACTTACAACATTTGTGCGAGGTTACTATTATCATTATTATCAGCTAGGTATTGCAGTGGATAGAATGCTGGGCCTGGAGTCAGGAAGACCTGAGTTCAAACACTTACTAGCTATAGGACTCTGGGCAAATCACCTGACCTCTATCTGGTTCAGTTTCCTAACCTATAAAATTGGGATGATAATAACATCTCCCTCTGAGGATCAAATGAGATAATGTTTGTAAAGTGCTTTGCAGACCTTAAAGCACTATATAAGTGTTAGCTATAGCTATATTTTATTCCCTTTTTATAGCTGAAGAAACTGAGGCACAGAGAAGTGACTTACCTGTGGTTGTACAGCTAGTGTCCAGGGCAGGATCTGAACGAAGCCAGGTTCTTTAGACTCGCAGTGTAGTACACTATTTGCTGTACCACCCTGGCCCCCTCTGTTCTTGGGCAGCGCATCTAACTTTGGCATGGAAAGGTGGCCCAGCAGCTTCCCCCTCCCCAAGCCCCTTCACTGGAAATGGCATATAGTCCCAGGGAATCCTTCCCCCTTTTGTAGTAATGCTGAAGTGGCCTCAGCTGGTCAAGCTTCCACCAAGGCTCATTCAGTTCAAGTGAGCTAACCATTTCCCCCATAGGTCTCCATAATAGTCAGGCCATTCAGCTTAGAGGGTCTGTGTTGAACGGGAAAGACTATGTAATTTTGGGGAAGAGAAACTTTAGGGGAGCTGAGGTAGAAAGGGGTACACAGCTTCCAGGAGGAAAAAACCCCAGGAATCCTTCGTTGCTGTCAATATTTCTATATTTTATTCTCATTGGATTTGACTTAAGGAAGGAATATCATTCACACTCAATTGAGTATGGAAATCTATCTTACCTACAGGAAAAGAGGGGGGAAGGGGATAAGAGGTGGGGATGATAAAGGGGAGGGCAGATTGGGGGAGGGGGTAATCAGAAGCAAACACTTCTGAGGAAGGACAGGGTCAAAAGAGAGAATAGAATAAACGGGGGTGGGGGGTTAGGTTAGGATGAAGGGAAATACAGTTAGTTTTCCACAACATGACTACTATGGAAGTGTTTTGCTTGACTAAACACGTATAACCTGTATCGAGTTGCTTGCCTTCTCAATGACGGTGGGTGAGGAGGGAGGAAGGGAGAAAATTTAGAACCCAGAGTTTTAAAAACAAATGTTAAAAATTGTTTTCACATGCAGCTGGGGAATAAGATATACAGGAATGGGGTATAGAAATTTATCCTGCCCGACAGGAAAGTAGAAGGGGAAGAGGATAAGGGAAAGGGGTGGGGAGATAGAAGGGAGGGAAGATTAGGGGAAGAGGTATTCAGAATGCTCGCTGTCAGGGGTGGGGGAAGGGGGGAGATGGGGAGAAAATTTGGTACTCAAAATCTTATGGAAGTGAATGTCAAAAAACTAAAAATAAATTAATATTTCTACATTTGCAACAAACTCATTTATAATTAATGAAGGTCTAGCTTTTCCAGGAGAAAGTAGTGAGGCCCAGGACATTATTTTGTTATTTATTTATCTGTCCCTCCAGCCATCCATTCTGTCCTTCCTTGTCTTCTCCTCTCCCTTCCTCCCCCTCCCCTTGCCATTTTAGAGATGATAATCCAAGAGGAAGAAAGCTTGGAACTGGTATGTAGTAGAACCAGGAGTCAAAGACAAGGGCTTTTGATTCCACATCAGGCTCCCACTCACCCCCACTGTGTTTTCTGTCTCATCGCCATCCCAGCAGTGCTGCTTTGGCCTGGCCTGGTGGTGCCCTGTTATCTTGGTCTTCTTTTCACTTGTGTCTCAGGTACCGAGGAGCCACGTCCACCCTCTAAGTTTCCATGTGGTGGTAACATCTATATCCCCTCTGAGTGGCTGTGCGATGGTGACAAGGACTGTTCTGATGGCAGAGATGAAACTCATTGTTGTAAGTGGACTGTACAGGCCTGGAATGGTCTGGGCTGGAGGTCACCCAGCCTGGAGCAGGACTGAGCTGAACCAAATTGTATAGGTACCCCTTTCCCCCTTCTGGCTCCACAGTTTTTTATGCTACACTTGTTTGTTTGCTAACTGCTCTCAGGCTAGTAAAGGATTATGTTTGTGTTATGGAGAAAGGAGTAGAAGTTTCTATCAGGATAATGTAGACTAATCCAAGAAGGCAGGGGTTAATCACTTTACAAATTCTGGAAAGTGAAATCTATTTGGGGCAGAGTAAGTGGGTACCATTAGTTAGTTATATCCCTATAGATTACAGTGGTCTGAAGAGTGTCCAGTATTAGTCCTCCTTCATTCCACTCACTAAGGCCATCTCACCTTTCCCTGGACCCCAAAGTGTTCTCTCTCTCTCTTTCTCTCTCTCAGCTGCCAGTGACATCCTAAGACTTGGGGAAAGATTTCAGTTTTCACCATAATTCCTTTAGCCTGTAGCGTGATTCTGCTATAATTTAATCTCCATTAGGGTGATCTATAACCTTTCTTCTTATCTGTGAACAGGGGCAGAGTCTTGTGCCCCTGGGGAGAAGAGGTGCCCTTCTGAGACGTGTTCCCCAGTCAGGTGTGAGGGACCTGAGTGTGCTGACATGTGGATTGAGGCCAGCTGCCCCCCACCTCCCTGCCTGGCTGAATACCGATTTTGTGACAGAGTCAACGATTGTCCCAATGGCACAGATGAACGGCTTGTGGACTGCGAGAAGCGCCGTTCGAAGATGTCCTCACTACCGTGCACCAGGCAGGAGTTCCAATGTGCCTCAGGAGTGTGCATCCCACATGTATGGGTGTGTGATGGACACCCAGACTGTGCTAGTGGCAATGACGAACTTCAGTGTGGTGAGTGTGCATGTGTGCTTGCAGATTGTACTCTTTCAATCAGCTCGAGAACCAGAGAGAGGGAGAACTTAAGAGCCGTATGCCTTGGGTGTCCCAGGAAGGAGAGACTTTCAGAAGCCACTGTGGGATTCATCCTTTGACTTGGGTGGCAAGATAGGGACTGGACAGTAGCTTAGAAAAGCGTGAGTAGAATGATGATGGGAAACGGAGGAAATGTGGGTTGTCTTCCAGTCCCAGCCAGCTTCAGTGCCATGGGCCATTAATTGAGAGAGTTGAGAGAGAGACTCCTGAAATCTAGATCTGGACAATGATGGCCTGGGTCCCTCAGGCTGCTGGACTCTGGTGCATCCCTAAGGTTAGAGACATCCTCTGGAACACTGACGAGGGTAGATTTCCCCACCCAGCGACTGGCCCTTTGGTCTCAGATGTAGCCAGCCTTAGTCAACAGTCAGTAAACATTTATTAAGCACCTACTACTTATGTGCCAGGCACTGTGCTAAGCACTGAGGATATAGATGTGAAAATGTGCCCTCAAGGAATTTATAATTTAATAGGGCAAGCTGAAAGGATGCTGAAAAGCTTGGGGGTGGGGAGGAGCACCTGATTTGGGGCTACAGGGGCTAAGTTGGTCAGAGATGTCCCGAAGTTGTTCAGCCAAGTGAGAAAGGAGATGTTCTGAGCTGAGCTGCCTCCCTAAGGTGGGGGTTTGGGAGGGTGGTTGGAGTTCATGGCTCACCCCCCCACCTCCAATCAGAGGGACAGAGGGTAGTGATGAGGTGAAATCCCACAGCAGGATGATGAGGTCTTCCCAATAATGAGCTCCCTGAGGCATGGTGGAAAAGTCTGTCAGAGAAGTCCCAAAGTGAAAGACAGGAGATTTCTATAGGGACTGAGGCTCCCTCTCCCCCCAGGGCTGCTGACCTGAGGCAGCTTGGTTTCATTGCAGGGACAACAGGAGCTCCCAGCAATCAGGCTACCACCTTAGCTGTGTCTCTCACCCCAGGTAATGGGAGTGCTATCCCTTCAGGAAATCAGAGTGCCAGTGGGATAACTATGGCCACTGGTAAGTATCCCTAAGTATAGGCAGCATCTCTGCTCTGTCAGCTTTCAGAATATTGGTTCCATCAAGTCTGGAACCTTCATGGCTTCCTTGTGATGCCTCACCCTATAGTAGCAGGTATAGATATTTCTTTGCTGTGGGGAGGTTGAGGGCTGAGGTGGCCATAGCCTCTTGTGCATCCTGTGAGGAGCCTTCACTGTGAGAGGTGGGCCACTAGCTGCTGGACTGGATGGTCCTTCCTCCTGCCTGGGCTAAGGGCCAGCAACCTCTCTCTCCTGCCAGGAAGCACGTGGAGTCCTTAGCCTTTGGAACAGTTTCTCTGAAGAGGCCCTGGCACCTCTTTCTCTGCCAGGGGTGGGGGTGTAGAGAATGCTGTAAGGCATCTCTTTGTGGCTTCCTTCAGGGACTTCCTTAGCCCAGAGAGAGGTGGAAGGGCCAAGCCTAGGGAGGTGAGATGAGGGGATCGTGCGATGTACTGACTTTGAAGTGTCTGCCATGACTGTGCCTAGTGGCCTTGGGCAGCCTCTTTTCCTTTTCTTGCCCTCCATGTTGTCCTCTTTAAAATCACTTAATTTTCTCTAAGGTCCTTTCCAAACCAAAAATTCTCTGAGTCCTTGATTCCTTCTCTGAGTCTTTGATTCTCTTCTTGTCCAACTGTCTTGTTCCAGGCAGAGATGGGCACTAAGTCAGACAATAAGTGTTGGTAGAGTAATGATGGAGGACAGAGGCAGTGATGGGAGTGGGGGGAGGCTGCTGATTCCCATTCCAGTCTCACGGTGACGGACCTGGTGGGGAGCTCCAGCTGGGGGAGGTGTGTCCACACCTGACTAGCTCTGGCTTGTACTGCTCAGGTGGCATCTCCAGGCTCAGAAATGCAAGAAGCCTTCGATCCCTTTAGCTCTAGCTGTAGCTGACCATGGGGGCTAAGGCTTTCCCTCCTCTTGGGTGCTGCTTCTGTTTCAGGGGTGACACAAACTCCTGGAGATCAGACCACTGCCCCAGGACGTGGAAGCCTCACACCTTCAGAACGACGAAGTGCGTATGGCCTGGTCATGGCAGCAGGTGAGGCCCCTTGGGCTGGTAGCGTGGCTGTGCTGCTCTGTCTGTGTTGTGACTTAGGAGTCTTGCAGGCCATCTAACTGGACCCCATTCCACAACAACCTCAACAAGCAGTCATCCAGCCTGTGCTTAAAGACCTCCAGGGAGGAGTGACACACCTTTTGGGGCAGCCCCTTCTCCTTTCTGGGAACACTTTCCTGGCATCTAAGCATGGTTTGCTCTGACTTTTGTCCATTTCTTTTATTTCTGCCTCCTGGGAGAAAGTGAAAAAGTTCAATCCCTTATCCACATGCTAGCCCTTCCAGTCTCCCCTGGCATTTCTTGTTTCTAGGCTAAACATTTCTAGTTTCCTCAACAAATCCTTCTGAGGTAGCTAGGTCACAAGTGGTTAGAATACTGGACTTCAAATAAGGAAGCCTTCAGTTTGAACCCTGGCTCAGACATGTATTCAGTGTTGACCCTGGGCAAGGCACTTTAGAAAAACAAAACAGCAACAACAAAACCCTTTTCCTGCTTCAATTTCCGCAACTATAGAATGGAGATTATAACAGCACCTACCTAACAAGGTTGTTGTGAGGATCAGATACCAAATATCAAAATATTTGGAATACTCTGCAAACCTTAAAGCAGCAGTATATCCATATTAGCTATTCTCATGATCTCCAGGCCTTTTACTGTCCTGATTTCCTTTCTCTGGACACTCCAGTTTGTCAGTATCTTTCCTTCACTGTGGTACCCAGAGCTGCCCTCAGTATTCCAGATTTGGTCTGACCAGTACAGAGCACACAAGACTAGCTCTTGCTAGGCGTCCTTGGGACCTTGGACATCTCTGAATGTTGTCTGACATCACATTAGCTGTTGGGGCTGCTGGAGCACATTGCTGTCCCATTAAACCTTCAGGCCACTGAAACCTCCAGATCTTTTCAAATGAACTGTTCTCAAGCCTGCTTCACCCATCTTGTACTGGGGAAGTTGGTATTTTGAACTCAAGTGTAAACCTTTTCATTTATCCCTCTTAAAATTCATCTTATTAGATTCAGCCCAGCATTCCAGCCTGTCAGGGTCTTTTCTATCCTGATTGTCATCTGATGTATTAGCTTTCCCTCCCAGCTTTATGCCGTCTGCACATTTGCTAAGCATGTCTTTTTGCCTTTATCCAAAGCACTGATCGCACAGGCCCAAGCAGAGACCCCTAGGCCACTTGACTGGAGAGATTTCTCAAAGTTTACATGGAGCCATTAACGACTGCTTTTTAGGTTTATCCATTCAGCCAGTTCCATGGCTACCTTACTGTGTGATCGTCTGACCCACATCTCTCTGTCTTCTCCACAAGCAGGGTACAAGACACTTTGTCTTGTCAAATATGTTTTTTTTTTAAATGTCAGGTAAGCCGTAACAGTCTAGTAGCTGTTAAAAAAGCAACTGAGATTAGTCTGCCATGATCTATTGATGAAGCTGTGCTGCTTCTTTGTGATCTCAACGTTCACAAAGCATCCCTTTCATGACATGCCCTAGACTTTCACCAGGAATCAGAGTTCTGTTCGTTGGCCTGTAGTTTGTCAATTCCATTCTCTGGCCCTCTTTTGACAGTCAGCCCACATCTGCCCCTCTCTGGGCCTGTAATAGCTTCCCTGTTTGCCCCAGTCTCTCAGAGATCAGGACTAGGGCCTCAGCCTTCCATCTGTCCATCCATTCATTCCCTCCATCCCCACTTCTGCTGCCTGGTGACCTAAAATCAGGCAGGCATTTTCCTTCTGTCATCTCCCTGCTTAGCTTGGGTTTCAGCTCTCTATTAGCCATTCCCATCTGATGCTTATTCTTCTTGGAGGAAGGCAACATGTAGAAGGTGCAAAGCCTTCTCTGGTGGAGGATCAGGGAGGGGCTCCATGATGTCCCTTTCCTATCCTCCCCCCAACCTCCTGTCAGAGGGAGGAAGTGGCCCCAGGGGCAAAGGGGCCTGAGGAAAGGTCAGTTTTAGAGTTGATGTCATCTTCCGGAATGCAAAGGAAGTTTCTGGAGAATATGAAGTCTGGGAAAGTATTCTGGTTGGAAATGTTCTTGGCTTTCCCACCAGCTATAGCTCTTCTGCCCGTTAGTGCCCAGTGTGCTCTCCCTGCGGGCTAATGCCCCCTGTTTATATTTATCCTCCATTACATTCTTGAAACCTGGACTAAGTCCCTCCTTCCTGCTCTGCCCCATGGGAACAGCTCCCTCTTCTGCTACCTCTCTGGGAGTCTTGGGAGTTCCCAGCCTTCAGAGCAGTGTCTGTTAGGAGCCTAAAGTGACCTTTGCTAGTGTGCCCTGGGGATTGTGGGGTAGAGAAGGCACCAGAGCAAGGCTGAGGGTAAGGTGCACTTGCCCTGTGCCTCTGATGGTGGTCCTTTGGATGACCCAGAGGATAGATGTGGTGATGGTAGTGTGGGGCAGGAGAGGTGGTGAGCTCTACACTTGGAGTCGAAAGGCATGGGTTCAGGTCCAGGCCCTACCAGGAGTCTGCCATGTGGCATTGGGCAGGTGACACCTTTCTCCAATCTTTATTTCAATCCTTCATAAAATAAGGGGGTTGGACCAGATTTTCTTTAAGATTCTTTCCAGGCTGACCTTTTCTGAGTCTTTGACTCTTTTCCTTTTCAGCTGCCCTGAGTGGAGTTCTGGCTGCTGCCTGTCTCCTTGTATGTTGCCAGACGTGGGCTCAAGTCCGGTGGCGCCTCCTCCCCCAACCAAACTTGGTGGAAGCTGTGAAGGAGTCATTGCTGATGCCTGAGAGAACACCTTCTTCCTTAATCTGAGGGCCAGCTGCTTGGCCTCCAGAATGGCTTTTGGGCCTGCAGGTCCATTGTGAAACTGGCCCAGACCTCCCTGGGGCTGAACCAAGAGTCCTCCAGGAGGGGAAAAGCAAAGGGAGGTGGGGGAGAGAGACAGTTAGCTACACAGAACACTCTTTTCCATCGGTCTCCATCACAAGCTACCTCTCTTTTTAAGGCAGCCAACAGGTCCTGACCTTGTTGCCTTTTTCTGCCACCCTGGGAGGCACTGCATCCGGCCCCCCTTGGATAGGGCCGGATGGGTGTGGATCCTGGTTCCCTCCAACAGAAGACATCCTGCCTGCATGGGGGTGGGGTGGGAATTGGCCATTTGCTCCTGAGGTGGTCACACAGCCTGATCACTCACTCAGGCAGCTGGTTTCAGGAGCTGTGCGCTTTGGTGAGCAAGGCTGGGTGTCCCTGGTGTTAGTCACAGGGCAGGTGATGCCACAGGGGTGTGACACTCTGTTCAGCTGCCAGGTGGGCTGCAGGTGAGGGAAGCACAGCCTCAACACTTAGAATGATCTGCAGTTCAGTAATTAAAATAATTTCTCAAAACTTAAGACCTTTCCTCCAGTCTGTCTCCTGAGCTCCTTTCTGCATCTCCCCATGGAAGAAAAATCTGACCTAGAGCTCATGGGCAGTAGGGAAGGATGCAAGAAGAGAAAAAATTTACATCCTCCTTTGGGCCAGTGGAGTGTCACATGGGGGAGGGGACTAGATGGTCTCAGGTTCTAGGAGTGTCTGTTAATGGTTCCCCACCCTCTTCCCTTCATTGTAAGAAGTTACAGTTGCAACCCAAACTCAAGCCAGGCAATTTGAAGGTAGCAGTACCTTTTACTGCAGACAGAAAGGAAAATAAGAGGCATAGACGTTTAAGTCAGGTTGACGTAGGTTCATAAGAATCACTCCCGTTTTGATTGCACAGTAAGGTATGCAAAGTACTTTCCCCATAGTAATCCATTAGGTAAGTAGTACAAGTGTTATTATTCCCATTTTTTGGACAGGGACACCGAGGCCCTGAAAGGTTAGATGATTTATTTGTTGGGGTCATGCAGCATTAGAATTGAAATTTGAATCCTGATCTCTTGACTGCAAATGTGTTTACCATATTTCCTCTCATTGAATTGAAACCCCTTGAAAGGGATCTTTGAAAGCTAGTTCAACTTTCCACTCCAGATGGTAATTCCATTGATAGCATCCCTGCTAGGTAGGAGGAAGCAGGGTGGCATGTGGAAGTCAGAGGGTCTGGGTTTGGGGCTCGCCAGACTTGCTTGGCTTTGCCATTGAAATCGTTTGACCTCAGCCAAGTAACCTGGAGTCTGTTTCCTCATCTGTAAAGTGAGGGCTTGATTTAGAGTCAAGTCGGCATTTATTAAGCATCTACTATGTACAAGGTAATGTAATAGGTACTGGGGATAAAAAGACCAAATTGAAAAACAAGGAATTTACTGCTGGAGGGAGACAATACTGAATCACAAGAGTTAGGTGAGATCTTGGGGACCATCTAATTCAATCCATGCCCAGCAAGTGGTCATCATGTCTTTGCTCAGACCCCTAGTGAGAGGAGCCCCTAAGGCAGCCTGTGCCCTCAAAGAGCTTGCAATCTAATGGAGGAAGCCAACACGTGGAGAAGTCAATTCTGTGTAATTTCAAGGGAGAGGGCTTTCCTAGGGTCCATCAGGAAAGGCTTCTTGTAGGAGGTGGCACCCAAGCTGACCCTTGAAGGAAACTAGGACTTTTTCAGGGTGGGAATGCATTCCAGGCATGGATCAGGGAGGGGAAGAGAAATGGTGACCGCCTATGTGCAGGCATGGAGATGGGAGGTGGCATGTTGTGTTTGGGTATCAGTAAGCCAGCTTATTGGAAAGCATGAAGTAATATGAAGTTAGTCCAGAAAGGTAGCAGGAAGCCAGATTGAGGAGGAATTTAAATTCCAGCCTTGTACTTTATCCTAGGGGCAATAGGGAGCTTTTGAAGATTTTAAAAGTAGGAGAGTGACACGGTTAGGCCTATGTGTTAGAAATAGTAATTTGGTGGCTCTAGGGAAGATGGAGAGAGTGGAAAGACCAATTAGTAAGCTACTGCCAGAGCCTCGGTGGGGACATTGATGAAGGTCTGAACGAGGATGGTGGCTGCATGAGTGGAGAGGAGAGATGTGTGAAGGGGAATTAGTATGATTTGCAAAATGACTGGATATGTCAGATGAAGGAAAAGGGAGCGTCAGGGATGACCCTAGGCTTTCAAACCTGGGTGGCTGGAAGGATGGTGCTGCTCAGCAGAAATGGGGAGTTGGAAAAGGGATGGCTGGGGGAGAAGGTTTGGGTGAGGGGAAGGATCGTGGCCCATACTGAATCGTGAGTATTCACTGGAGCCCATGGGGTGAGGGACCCACAGGAGAGGTTTTGGGAAAATATCCCTGTCTCCTGGGACTTTTGAACCCAGACAGGGACTTCAAGCTGAACAGAAGCAGGAGTGTTCAGGGGGGCTTTTGCTCAGGGATCCTGCCTCTGCCAATTCACTCACCGTGTGACCATGGGCTACTTAACCTCTGGTTCCCGGCTTCTTCATTGAGAATTCCAGGGAACTGTCAGCCCACTGTCCTCTGGCCTGGTCTGACCACTTGTGTTCAGAGTACCTCATTTTAGGAAGTACACTGATAGCCTGGAATATCCAGAGGAAGGCAGTCAGGATGATGAAGATGTCTGCGATTATACTGCATGAGGAGTGGTTGAAGGACCTGGGAATATTTAGCACCTAGAAGAGAAGGCTTACTGGGGCTGTGATGTTTGTGAAAGAGAGTTTTGACTTGTTCTGCTTGGTCTCAGGGCAGACCCAGGCTCAGTGGGTAAAAGTTGTAGGAAGGCAAAGTTAGAATTTGCCTAAAGAAAAATGTTCTAAAACTGAGTTATCTCAAAGTGAAAGGTGTTTGCTTGGGAGGATGTTTCCCTTTCCTGGTGGTCTTCAAGAAATAGCTGAATGAGCAGTTGAAGGGTATGTTGAGGGGATCCTTGCGGAAGTCCAGGTTGGACATGTTGGTCTCTGAGGTGCCTCCCAATTCTGAGATTCTCTGATTCCAGTGGGTTCTGTTTTACACATGTGATCAGTCAATCAATAAATGTTTATTAAGTACCTGTTATATGGTGGGCACTGCTAAGGAAGGTAGAAGACAGTCCCTGCCCTTGAGGCTCTCACAGTCTAATGAGGGTGACAGCATGCAAACAATTGTGTACAAACAAATTACATATAGGATAAACAGGAATAATCAACAGAGGAAGGGCACTGGAATTGGGAGACTGGGAAAGGCTTCCTACAGAAAGTGGGATTTCAGCTGGGACTGGAAGGAACTGAAGATATAGGTGAAGAGGGAATGCATTCCAGGTACAGGGACATCAGTAAAAATGTGTGGAGTCAAGAGATGGAGTGTCTTGTGTGAGGGTCAGCATGGTTGTCTTGAATCAGATGCTGCTGGGATGTCCTGGCATTTGGGAGGGAGGATTAGGACTGAATATATACATCTCAGAGCCATCTTCACAGAAGTAGGATAATGTTTGGGAACAGATGAGATCACCCAGAGAAGGTCCCAGCTCTAGATAGGTGATCCTGTGGTCATCCAGCCTCCAGGGTTTGAACATTTCTAGTGATAAGAAAACTCATCATCCTCTAAGGCAGACCATTTCACAACCTTCTGTGTTGGAATGGCCTTCAGAAAGCCAACCCATACTGGCCCAAGAATCCCCTTGTTCAGCACACCTGGCAAGGGGTATCCAGCCACTGCCTGAAGGCCTCCGTCCAGAGGCAGCCTGTTCACATTTGCATGGCTCTAATTATTGTAGCAATCTCATGGTGTTTGTCATGAAGGTTAGATAATACAGGGCATGCAGAGTGCTTTGTGAACCTTCAAAATCCATTGTTTTACAGAGGCAGGGTGGCAAGGTTTATTTGACTTGTTTCCTCTGCTGTAAAATGAACAGCTTAGTCAAACTCAAGGGTTCTTATATTTTGCTAGCTGTATTTCAATATAATGGGTTTCCTTTGTCATCTTACATATTGTATACATTTAAAACATTGTTCTGAGAAGGGTTCCTTAGGCTTCACCAGATTGCTAGAGGGATCCATGACTTGAGGTTAAGAACCCTTGGTCTAGGATGACCTCTAGACACCCTTCCAGCTCTGATAGTCTCACTCTCATGACCTCGTACCATTGTGTTGGTGACCACTTATGCATCTACTCAATTTCTGCCCTACTGGAGCAACAGGGAAGTTGACAGTCTCAACATAATGGGAGTTACTTCTGGTACATGGAAGAGAATCGGGGAGAAAAACCCATTGTCACAAGGGCCAGATGAGCAGAAAGTTATGAACCTGCCATGTCCTCTATGGACACTGGGGGTCCTCAGAACCCAGGCTTTTTCGATGCAAGATGGTATGGTGTCCAAAATACCTGACTTAGAGGTAGGAGATATTTAGAGTCAAATCCAAACAAGAGGGCCAGTCCCCCAGTGGATGACCGTGGCCAAATCACTTCTCTTGTCTTATTCGCAGCTTCCTCATCTGAAAAACGGAAACCATGATAACCTGTTATACCTACCCCATTGGGTTGTTATGGGGATGAAATGAGAGAATATGGTGCTTTGCTGGCCTTCCTTGGTTACTATCCAGTTCACTCGATAAATAAATATTAAGGTAATTAATATAGCACCTGTTAGGCTGTGTTAGGGACACAAGTACAGTGAATGAAGTAATTAAAGGATCAGATCCCTCCCATTGGACTCAGTCCTCTTGAGTTAATAGCCATTTTCAAGATAGGTCCAATTGTTAGGAGCTTAGATCAAGCTGAAATCGACCCTCTTTGTGACTTTTACCAACAATTGAGCTTACTTTTGTCCTTGGGATGCTCTCAGTTTCAAGATAGATGCCTCTCATCTCCTCCCTACTCCACCAAGATTTGAAAACTAGAATGAAAATCATCTCCTGCTGAAGAAGTAGATACATCATTGGACTTGAAGTCAGGAAGACCTGAATATAAATCTGGCCTCAGGCACTTGGCTGTATGATCCTGGGCAAGTCACTTTCCCTCCCTCTGCCTCAGTTTCCTCACATGTAAAATGAGGAATAATAATAATAATAATAATAATAATGATAGCACCTACCTCCCAGGATTGTTATGGGGCTAAAAATGAAATGATAATTGTAAAGCACTTTGCAAACCTTAGAGTATCATTTACATGCTAGCTATTATTATTATTTTATTATTATCTAATTTTCTCCAAGCTAACCACTCCCAGTTTCTTCATCCAAACCTCCTATGACATAATTTTGAAACCTCTTATTATCCTGGCCTCCTACCCTGGGGATCTAGAAAGAACAGAACTAAATATTTTAGGTGTGGTCTGACCAGTGGGACTATCACCACCTCCTCCTCCTAGAAACGAATTTCAGATTTTGTTGTTGCTAGGCTTATTTCTCCTCCTTCCCACTTCTTGATTTTTCTTTTTCCAGTTTCCAGAAGGAGGTTGGCCCCTGTCCAGCTAAGATTCTCAGTTCTAATCTTGTTAACAGTAAATCTT